AATACTTAAGTATTTTTAAAAGCCAGTACTTTTTTACTTTTACTTAAGTAAATTTTTTGAGTACTTTCTCCACCACTGCAGGGAGGTTAGCCAAAACCTCAGCCTGATAAGAACGGGCAGCACCTACTTTGTCAAACTCAAACACAACTCATTCATCTTTAATAATGGCAATAAAAGGGCCTTGGAACGCCGAGCTAGCATGGCTCTCCACCCCTATTAATTATGTATTTTGAAATAATCTCTGTGGAATTAATGTGCATTACTTCAAATCAGCTCTCGTTTCCACCTACATGATTGTTCTTAGATCAGGCCAACACTTAACTTATCGAAACCTGGGGCGCCTGCAGGATATTATCGGAGGGTGCGCACAAAACTATCATTGCACCTAATCCTCATGAATGCTGTCGCAACGTGATGCGATGGCAGAGAAATAGCAGATCTGATCCACACAAGGCCCAATGAGTCCAAATGCAGCACACATGCCACACTTAAGCCTGCATAGCCTACTTTTTTTTTTGATAAATTACACTAAATAATAAAGACAGATCCACGGGAGGAGGAGGATGATTCCCAGGATCAGGTGGTGTGTCTGAGACTTCCAGAAGAGGACGAGGTGAAGCGATAATGTTTGCTTAATTTCTACTCTTTTTGACCAACGTTTTGAATGGATTTAACAGTTTCACTCTCCCACTATAGCGTGGCACAGGTGAAGTGCGCGGCAGGTGTCATGGTCTGCAGGGGCGTAACTACATATTATTCAGGTGGATGCGAAAACATAAATCGCTCCCCCCCCCCCCGCAAAAGAAGGTACGCAAGGGTGAAGGAGCGTAGAAAACATAAGGTTGCTCTATCCGTATGAGCGACCGTATGTTTACCACCCCCGAGACGAAGACACGTGAAAGGTAAAACTCGTTACATTTACATTTACATGTGCGCGAGGTGAAGGAACGTAAGGGCGTGGTGAAGTGTATGTGAAGGCATCATCGGGGCGCCGCCCCCTCCAGACGGGGTTTTGACGCCCCCTCTGGTGCAGCGCCCCTATGCGTTGCATGCGCTGCATACCCACTTTTTGCGCCATTGATGGTCTGTCAGTGGCGAAATGATGGGATGCTTCAAAAATAAACGCAGGCGGACTGCGCACAGGATAAAAAGTTCAGGCAGGGTTCACTCAACCCTTCTTAAAACTGCGTGAGGGTTTAATGTCCACTTCTTCATTTTTAGCTAGCTTCACTGCATGATCACATTCAGCTTACAGAAAGAGTGCCAAGCCGCCAAATACACAAAGTATTACAATAACAGTATCTATTACAATAAGGTTTATGATGGACATATGCCTGTGTAGATGTGGGCTACCTACACAATATTTTGACACAAAAGATCATTTTTCTTTTATTCCAACATCTTGTGAATAGCACAGGGGGAATACAATATAAAGTACAATAACTATAATATTTTAAAACTCTAAGGTACGCACAGCTGCAGGCGCCACTGTCCCACTGTCTGTGTAGCTGGATGGTTTGCAGGTCTACCAGTATGAACATGGCCAAGTTGATGCAACAGAAGTGTCCTAGTGTTACTGATTTTATAGGATTTAGACATTTCTGAGATGGGGGCAATAAGTCTCGTGTTGCCCCCATCTTGACATGATGCTAATCATCTTAAGTTTCCACTGTTGCAAAACAAAATGTTGCTACATTAACCAAGAACAGGTCTCATGTTTTTAACAACCACAACCCTCCAAACAAACAGTTGTAAAGGTGAAGGTCTCCAAAATTAGGTTTAAAGTGATCTCTTGTGTTTTGTATTTTCTTCACACACAGTGCTATTTTGTTGGAACTTTTTACCAATTCAAATTAAAAACTGAAACCGATTGCTTTCGTTGTCGTAAATATTTCATGTTAACTGGAACTAAGTGTGAATGTAAGTTGACAGACAGATTGAACTGAGTTTATTTAATTGCATTTTTCATTTTCCAGTCTGTCCTCTACAAGGACTTGAGATTACATTGTTTTAAATTAGTTCAGTGTAAATAAACTTGAAACATAAATTAACTGCAATGTGGAGCCGTTAATTTGGGGAGGTTGCGGAGGTCCACTTGGAGTCATGATACCAATACCAAAAAATGACTATGAGAAATCACTTGCATTTTAGAAATATAGTTAAAAAAAAAAAAACAAGATCTTAAAGTGAATAAAAGTAACATGTTGGCTAATATACTGTTTGTTGATGCAGATTGTGCAGCTTTTTAACTGACAGTAGAAATGCTTGAATGTTCAACCAAAATTCGGGGTCATGACCCTTTCATATTTTTATTTTGTGGATAAGAAGCTGGAAAGTTTGGAAACTGCTCCTCTGGAGTACATAGATCCTGTAATGCTATAGAGAAATCTCTAAGAATAATACTGCAGAAAAAACACATTATTTTATACTTAAAAAATTAACTGCCTCACTTTTTTTGCTAGATGCTTTGACTAATTATCTTATAAACATCGATCAGAGTCGCAGTTGTGAATATATCGAGTTATTTGTGCTCTATTACTTTAATTGTTACCCATTTACCCTCATTTTCACTGTTGCTGATTTGATGTTTTGACCCCTGAACGGATTATATACCGTGTTGTTCAGCTCTGGTGGGAGCTCACTCTGCCTGATAATCCCTCTTAAAATACAAGCCTCCCATGATCTTCAACCTTTGACCTTGCTCTGTGGCCTACAGAGGAGTGGAAGCCATATCACACTTCTTAAGATAACCATCTTGCTGTCAAAGTGTCAACTCTGGAGGCCAGCCTGTAAAGGCCTGCTCAGTATTGTAGAGGAAGATGAAGACAGAGGATTTTTTGTGAGTGTGACTCAAAACATGAACTATCCCACCGGAGGAGTTGGAGGAAATTGGGTGTATTTCCCACCAAATAGCACAAATCTTAAATTATCACAGGGGAAAATTTGCCCTTGACGCTAAATTTAAGCATAATCAAAACAGAGAAGCAGGATATCTAGCTTTCTCTCAAAGGATAATCTGATTAATAATGATGTTCTGTTCTTTCCACCTACAGCTAAACTATGTCTCTAGTATCTCAAGTTACAGCTTGCCCTGTTACCTTCCTGGCTGTGTTTAGCCTTCAGGCCTGCTTCGCCTGACTCTACAACATTAATGGATATGGACATCTGGCAGCGCCACAGATTCGTCAGCGCCGATAACGCGTGTTCTTCCCTAAAAAGATTGAATTAGAAATAAAAGGCACATGATTGGGTTAGAGGGAGGAGTAGGATATGACAATAAAGCTCATAGGCAGTGGGCTGTAAGACATCATGCTTACAATCACAGTTAATTCCCATTCATCATGATCTGGAGTTGCTCTGTTATCAGAAGGGATGTATTACCGTTGGAGTTCTGGCTTCTTGTGTCTTGATCTTGGCTGCATCATTCAGCCAAACGCGCTTCCCACTCAGAGCCGGTATTAAGCCGTTAAAGCGTTGTTGCTAATAGTAGCAGGGCACTTGGTGGAAGACATCAATACGCGTTTTTCCACTTTTGCTTGTCGAATAACCTAATCCATCTGCGGTCTATTTCCCAAGCTCCTTTTAAAGCCAGGAAGACGACAAACAATTTATTACCGTTGCACTCACTCAGATTTTACAGTTTAATCACAAGTAAAGGATGTGAATTATATCAAATTTGTTATACAATGAGGCAAATTACTTAAAAATTATTTCTCTCTTGAAAGTTTTCTACTTTTTGACACTTAAATTTATATTTTTTAAACTGCTAAATTAGTCATTTTATTGTTGGTTTCACAAAACAAGAAACAACATGGTGCTAAACTTAGCTGTTCAGAGTGTGGCTTAGTGCCATTTCACTGTTTTTCTCTTCTCCATTTCAAAATCTTTAACTACAAACTTTAATTACAAACTTTTACAGTAACTCTTCTATTTGTACATATTGTACAAATGGTACACCTTGCACCAGTAGTACCAATTCAGCTTAAAGACCACAAGTTCAACCTGAATTGCAAGTCGTCTAAAGCCTAAAAACTGCAATATTTATGTTTTATTTTATTCTTAAGTGAGCAGCTAGTTAACAAAACCAAAATTCTGATGGATAAAATGTTGAAAATCAAGATAATTGATAGTTAAATATAAAGTTATATAAAAAAATTCAAAAAATTAAAATAAATAAAAACACTACAGGTTTAGAATATAGCAGAATAAAAATACGTAAAATCAAATTTTTATCAAACCTGGAAAACTGTCAAATAAAAATAAACACTTTCCAAAATTGCATAGGAACCTTGGAAATTATTTCACATTTCTGCGCAGCATCTCAGCTTGGTTTAATAATTACTGTCACCTTTATGGAGCCTAATTGGGTAAAACAGGCTGAACCCAAGATCTTAAGTCCTAGGAAGTACAAAAGTCAAAACAAAAGCTTTGCATCAACGATTTACAAAAACAGTATTATGACTTTTTTTAAAAATGGTTAAAATTATGAAGCGTACCCTGAATTAAAGACAGCATCTACGTGCATCCCCAAAGCTCTTCACTGGCCACACAAGTTCATCAGAGTTGAACAACAGACTGCCTTCAGCTGGTAACTCTGTGATCACATCGTTCAGAGCGCTTGCATGGCTAATCAACAGACTCCTTATTGTCAGTTCACAAAAGCGTTGATTTAATCTGGGAGGCATCAGATCATCGGAATGAGAAGTGACTGCGGTCTGTAGGAATTTGTGATTTGGAGCATGATACCCACAGGGTCCAATGATATTAAAAAAAGAAGAAAAATTCGAAGCCCTGTTTACAGATATGACCCTGACGAAATCCAAAATATATATATAAAAAAAAGACTGTAGCCCTTGTTCCTAGAGAGGGGATGAGTCCAAGAAGACAACGAGACAGGCTTGAGCATGGCATTTAGGCCAACAACGCAGACAGTGTTGCACTGAGATGAGCTGATAATGCGGCTGATGAATTATCTGTCCAGTCACTGAACTGTCCGCTCAGCAAATATGCACTCAGTTATATTCCATTGACTTCAGCGTGACCCTGGCCAGTGAACCCAGTAAATCAACTTCACTCTGCACAAAAGTTTGATTAACGTGCCTACTGGTCAGACAGAACAACTCCATATGAATTAGTTTATAAGCTAACATTAAAAAACAATCCACTGCAATATTTCAACAGAACTGTCCGACTTGGCCGTTTCGTGTTTTTAGAGATGCCCATTGGATCAGGCTCTCTATGGTATTTTAAATTATCTAAGCCAATGATTTGTGCAGCTACAAACTTTAGCAGAAGTAAATCGACATGAAAAATAAGTAAGGGAATTAATCTCGTCATCTGCATAAGCGGATATATACTGAAATTAGATTTCGACAGATAAAATACCAAGTTGGGTGTTACGTCGTAAAGAAAAAACGTGTTTTATTACTAATAAGAAAAGGTAACTGAGCAGCAATAAGGCAAATAGATATTTGCATGTGAACTGGTGAAAATGTTTGGTTCTCCCACAGAAAATGATTTGGAACCAAAGTGTTGCAGTTTTTTAATCAATACACTGGACATCTTCCAGTGTATTTTTACTTTGAAAGATTTTACTCTGACCCCCCGGAAAGGTTTCTGTAGTGACCATTCATTTCGATACCTGAACCCCATATTTTCTGTGAATGAAGAACACATTGGTAGAATTATTAATCTTGACGATTTTTCCTTTTTAATCGTTGCTCCTCAGTGGGTAGAGTTGTGTTTTGTTGTGCAACTCACCTCAGTGCAAAGGCCTTTAGTCTTTGTTCACACTGCAGGCTGAAGTGACCCAAATCCGATGTTTTTCTGCCTTAATGCGACCTGCATCTGATCTTTTCATGACAGTCTGAACACCACAAGTTGTTTTTTTATCTTTTTAAAGTGCGACACAGGCCACTTGGATATCCGATATCTGATCTTTTCAAATGTGACCTGAATCTGAACAGCCAGGTCTTGATACTCGACAAACGTCACTATTCTGCACCCTGATACGTGTAAGCGAGAAGATAAACAACAACCAGTTATAAGTATATAAGTTGCCTCTGTCTCTGGTTGGATAACAACTTCAAAACCGTAAGCTAAGCTCCACCGTTAGCATCCATGTTTACTTCCGCAAACACTGAGCACTTCTTCTTCTTTATAGCGGTTGGTAAAACACTGAGGACGCTCTCTACTGACGTCATTGCGCCCTCTACTGTGCATACGGGACGCTTTCAGGTCATTTGCAGTTCACATATATTTGGAAAAATCCTATTTCACAAAACTAATCGGATTTGGGTCACTTCAGGCTGTAGTGTGAACGTAGCCTTAGATGGTCAACAGTATATTCAAATAATTTATTGTAGAAAAAATGAATATAATTGACTTACATCGGCAAATGGTGTCGTTGACAGGACTGCAGTCCTGCAGCACCTCATCATCCTCGTCACACGTTGTGCAGGGGATGCAGGGGTCCCTGAAATTGTCCTGGTCCGAGAAAGTGTCGCCGTCGCACTGCTCACACATCGTGTCATGATCCGACTCGCAGCTGTACAGCATGCCGTGGCCTTCGGGACATTTGGTGCAGGCTTCACACCGATCACTGATTTTGTTGTGGTAGTAGCCGTAGTTGCATGTGCAGATGGCGTCGTTGGTGTCGGTGCAGGGCGTGCTCATGCGGAGCAGCCCTGTGCATTTTGTACAAGGCTGACATTTCTCTGTGTGGCTGAAGTTTTCTGAGAAGGTCTCACCTGGAAGAAGAATGGCAGGAGGAAAGATCACCTTTTTGGTTTTATGTCAGTATACGCATAACAGTTTTGGGAACACATTTAAGAAAAAGGTTTGAACAGCTTAAGCAGTTCATTATATTTGACATTCGTGACTGTATAGGAAATAGACTAGGGTATATTTGCTAATTTATTGTGAGGGAATGCAATACTTTTGTTTTGACTTTGTACAAGGCAAACCGATTCTGTTTATATGCAGAAATATGTAATCAAATGAATCAATAATAAAGACAGAATCAAATTTAGTTGGTTCCATTTTGACTGTGGTTGTAATAAAATTCATGCAAGTTCAAAACTTGCTGATACTTTTGAGTCCCCAGCACACATTTGCCTTCATTTAATAAACCCAAAACTGTTTCTGTATAAACTTCTCCGCCTGTACAGGAAAATATTTCTTTCATACTAAAAGTGAGCAGCAATATTTTCATATTTTCATAAATGTTTTTTTTTGTTTGTTTGTTTTTTTTGGGGTTTTTTTTTGAGAATGATAATGACATCAATAATATGTTTTGAACACCTGCCAGAAATCCTCGGACAGACATATCTGCAAAGGTTACAATCGATACTTCATGGTTTATGGAATTCTATTTCAGCTGGATAGAGAACTGGGAAATGCACTAAATTATGCAACAGACCCATTTGTAAAAGCAGCGAGTGTGTTTGCGTGTGTCCATACGTGTGTGTGTGTGTAAGTCTAAACAGCAAAAGAAATGAAATTATAAGAGAGATCGCAAGGCAAATATAACTTCGCAATCTCTGTCTTCAAGACACACAAACGGATTTGATTTGTTCATTTATTTATTTGTTAATACAGTGTTGCATCATCTATTGTTTGGTAATTTAACTTTTCTATATCAAATATGATGTTGAGTTTTACATCTTATTTGCACAGGATCAGTAACTGACAGAAATACTCAAGGACGACGTGTCTGCACTGACTGAGCTACTCAATAAATCAAGTGTTATTTGCAACCCTAGAAGTTGAATTAAAAACGTTATTTTCACTTTTCTTAATTCTGCTACAGCTGTGGTTCATGTAAAACATCTGGACTCAATCAAAACACAAATTTCTGGGACGACCCGTGTTGTAGAGTTTGTCTAGGGTTGATTCTGATTCTTGAGACGTTTGCTGCATGTCTGCCTCTCCTCTAATGACCATTTCCTGTCTGGTAGCTGTCAATGACCAACATGTTACCAACATGCTACCTTCCAACATCCAAGAGAGAGTTGATAAAGGGGCAGAGAAATCCTCTATCCAGGGAATAAAACTGTGGAATGGTCTGGAGAGTTATACTAAAAATGCCAGATATATTGTGTGTATTTGTGTTGTTTTCAAGTGCACTTGAGTTTAAATTTAAATAATTTAAGGACGCATAAAAAACCAGGACCCATATTCTACGGCGCCCCCTAGAGGGCATGGGGAAAATTTTTCTTTTGGATTCTATTTTCTATACAGTCACAAATTCCAATTTAAAATGGACATTTACACATATATACAGATATTTAAAGAGCCTCAATGAAAATGTGTTTGTATTCTCTTAACTCATTGGTGCAAAACACTGACTAAAAATCAACTTATTCACTGCATGTCTGTGTAAAGTTGAGCTGGAACTGCACATGAAAAAGGCCCTTTATTAGCCATTCAGACCAACAAACCAAACTGGTAATAAAGTCATCACAAGGCAATGACTTCATTAACCTGTGAAAATAATTCAGAAGTAGTCCAAATACTTTGGATGTATTTTTTTCTTTACTTTTTAAAGAAAGTCCCTGTTTATATCTTATAAGGGATGGAAAAAAATGGAAAGTCCATATTTGGCCTGTTTTGATTTTGCACACAGGTTTGTGGTGCAAAACTTCAGATATCTCACAAACGAGATATAAACAATATGGAAACCTTATAGCAAAAAGTGCCGGGGCCACCGTAAGAAAGACGTTCAGTATTTAGTTATGCCGCATGAACTGATCAGTACATTATTGTGAGGGAACGCAAAATAAAAAAAATCCTCCATGTCCCCTAGGGGCCTCCGTAGTACTCTGAAAGATTTTCGGTGTTTTCTCTCAGAGTTCTTATATTAACCTAAATTTTCCTCGCAAGGAGCTTAAAAGTGATTCCATCAGCTGCTGACATCGAGTCTGATTGAGTATTTTGTCTAATTTTTATGTTATTTTTATGTTTTTTATGTTTATGTTTTTATGTTGTGATGCTGCAGTTCAGGGACTGTGATCAATTTTTCTTCTACTTCTTGTTGTTTGTTGGTAAACAACTTAATGGAGGATTACTGATTACTGCCACCTACTGGTAAGGAGTGTAAACCGAATCCAAGAAAACTCAAAACAAGAAGACTTCATATCCTATTGCACTGTATTAAGAGAGAATATGGTCGGGTTGTTTTTACTTTCTGAGAATAAATCAATAAGTTCTAGTTATGACCGTCATTGGATGATTCATGAAACAAAGTAAGACACAAAATAACAGAAATCCACTCCTCCCACAAAACAGTAGAGAAAAATTAAGCTACTCTGTATTAGAAAAGAGCTTCAACATGTTTGGTGTAATTGTGTTTTGTCATGGCTTCCAGCCATTTTAGTACGTCATCTATTTAACATGAACCATTAACTATTATTAATGTGGACACTCAGCTGCTAATTCACAGAGATTGCCTGCTTGTTTGATCTTGTTTGATGTAAAATGTGGGAGTAAACGACGTGAAAACCAATCAGGAGAATCTATTTTACAGATAATATCTCTCCTTCCTGTCGGTCTTTTTTTCCCACTATCTTCCCTGCGTAACACAATAAAACCAACCTAAATACTCCTATAATTTTGTCGCGTAGAAAAGTGCTTCTCATACAACTTATTAAGCTTTTAAAGTTTCTATCAGTCTATTTTCCATACAACATTAATCTAAACAGGAAAGAAATGGCGTTTAGGAGCTTGTGGGAGGTACGTATCAAGTTCTCAGCCTGCATTGTATTTGCCCACCAACAACGCCAAATGCTCTGATGCCACAGAGATTAAAACAGATGAGAAGAGATAGACCCTGAGGCAGAGAGACAAAAGAAATCAGAGACATCTGAGCAGCAGACCAATCTCGGTTCGCTGTGTTTTTAATTGATGGTGTCAAATGTGGGTCCCTCGCATTTTTGCTTAATTGTCTTTTTTCAGAGCTAGAAACCATCAAGGCCTCATTGGTGTCCAGTCATGTATTGCAATCCCCCCCATTATCTGCTCTGCTCAAACAGACGCACACACTCAGACTACTCTGACTGTCCCCCATGAGGGCTCTTGGAGCCATTATCATAATGCCATGCATCAATAATGCAAGTCAATACATTAATAACAGTGGCTGCAGCTTGGAGAGAGAGAGAGAGAGAGAGAGAGAGAGAAATGGGAGAAGGGGGAGAGAAGCAGACTGAGTTCTCCTTCTGAAGGACAAGATGTCAGTTCTGCTGCCACTGGTCAAACATGCCGTCTTTCCGTTTATTTTAACACCCAAATAAGGACTCTAACGTCGCCCACTTTGGCCCATGGTGTGTGTGTGTGTGTGTGTGTGTGTGTGTGCGTGTGTGTGTGTGTGTGCATGATGCCTCGACTCTTGACTAAAAATGTTCCTTTGTCTCCATTCCAACTCCTCTTGTTCTGTTTTATCTCCAGTTATCTGCTCATTCGTCCAAACTCCTCTGGTGTTTTACACTTGGATATCCTTTGCAGCTTTTCAGACAAACTTCTGGTTATTATTTGTTCAAAATGAAGCCTATGTGGAAACTCTAGCTAGAAACTTGTGGCAGAAAATTCTGCATTCTCCAACATATGGGAAATTATAGAGATTGAGTAACAGCTCATTGATTATCATGTACAAAAAAGCCTTTATGAACAAATTCTACACTTGGAATTTTTTTTAATCATTTGTTTATTTAGAAGGTTGAAAGACGTGCAGTTAATAGCCGTTTCTGAATAAATCAGAAATGCCACCATTATTTGAACCAAACTGTATGATAAAGGCAGCTAAAGCAGTTTCTTCTACTTCACAGTGGTCCCTTTCTTTAGGCCACTCTTTAAAATGGGAAAGACAAAAGTATTTGCCATCCAAGGAAGGTAGATATTTTCATAAGGCAGGATTTGTTGGTATCCAAAGTTAAAGGAATTGCAGAAAAAATGTGACTGTGACGAACAAGACAGGACCCCGGGTAGTGGCTAAAATCCGCATTTACTTGTCACTCCCACTAAAATCGCTTAAAACTGCCTATTTAATAGTTCAAGCACAAAATATGTCTTAATATGCATTAATGTAATGTGGAAACTGAATTGGCAGAACTTCCTCCATAGTCTTTCTTATCTCTGCTGTTGCAGCCAACTGGGTTGGCTGGTTTACAGCGTACAAAGCAGCATTGAGCTGACCTTTTGCTGCTTTTTCTTTTTAAAATTTTAGATGCGCTCTACAATACAAATCTGCAAATAGGCAAATTATCCAAGAACAGGCGGTTGTCTGCAACCATGCACAATGAGGATTGAGGTGTGGGAGTCAAAGAAGAAGAGAGAAAACATCCAGTGGTCATTGCTGGAGAAGTAGGAGATGCATTTTAAGGTTGACAATTTTGCATGAAAGCAGCACCGTTAGCTTGTTGCATTCACACCAGTTGTTTGCAAGAAAAAAAAAAGTATATCATGTCCTACCATCCCAAAATAAATGTACAGAGTTTCCTCCATTCTACAGAGCAGTAAAGCCTTTAATAAACCATCTCAGAAATTAGTTTTTTTTCTGAATGTTCGTAACCTGCAGGTCAAGCTAACGAAATAAAACACATAAACTTTAAAAACCGAAGCCACATTTGTGATTAAAAGGCTGAATTGAGTGGACACGTCTGGTGATAAACATCTCCTTTTCTAACGGCTTAAACACACTGATGCTATTTTGACATTGTTATATTTTCAAGGATCAATACTATAGAATGAATTGCCACAGACTGAAGTCCAGTAATTTGTTCTGTCTCTGCGGTGTGTTTTTGCCTTAAATACTCACTGCACAAACCGTTTGCAGTCAATAAATCACAAGTTGAAGACGCAACCCTTGTTTCCTTTTTCACAAGTCAACCGACACAGGATGCTTGATTTACAGGATGGAAGAGCTTCTGGTTGGCTTCAACCCCCTTGTCATATTCATCCTTCTGCAAAACTGCGTCTAAACAGCCTTAAAGTGTTTCTTAAAGGGACGAGGGATTTGACTTTTTCAGCAACAAAAACTCCAAGCAGGTCTAAAGCGATAAAGGACACATTTAACAGAACATAATGGCTGCTGTTTGGAGAAGACACAGAATGATGCAGCATCATGAACTCATACTTTACTCTTTTAAGTTGATCAGAGAGTCTGAGATCTTCTGATTAGCAATGCATGACTTCCTGTTACCGTTGGGTATAAATATGATATGACACAGGCGATCATTTCTCTTAGCCGTAAGCCACTCGGCTAGATGAGGACCAACGTTTATCTTGCTGCCACACAGAGAGGAGGACGGTAAGGAAGATAAATAAATCTCCAAAGCTCACTGGAACTGCAGCACAAACTGCCATCTCTGTAGCAACAATTAGATGTTATTTACATGGCAATCAGTTGTTTAGGAGGGATGCCTGTCCCATCACCACAAAATGTAAACGTGAAGTTTCCCAAATGAAACTGGGACTCCACATGTGGAGAACTTATTACTTTAGATCAACGTTTAGCTTTATACTTACTAATAGACTCAAACATGGAGATTCAACATCTTATATTTTTACCTTTTTGTCTTTCGGTTTTGTTGTTTGTATTTCCTTCTAATTCATGTAAAGCACTTTGAACTGCCTTGTTGCTGAAAAGGTGCGATATAAACATTACCTTACCTAGTGTAAAATATAGCAATGCATGCCATGTTTACTGTTAAAGCTGCAGTTTGTACTTTTTTGTTAAAAATATATGTATGTTTTTACATAGTTGTTAAAGCTGTCACCATGTTGTGGAATAATGTTATGAGGCAGATAGTCTGTGAAAAGATCGATCTGCTTCACCTGAGCTACTAATTCTGAAGAATTCACCGCTCCCGGTCAAAAACAACCAGTCAGAGCCAGGAGGAGAGTCTTAGCGCCGTCAATCAATCCCATGAACGTGCTGCTAAATGTGCTAATGGTGAAGAATAAAGAACCGTTTGTCTGCCATTGTCGGTGGCTGTGCTCACTAGCCTTAGCATTTACGACAGACTCTCCCAGCTGCAGCACAGCGTAGAGCAGGGGGAGCAGAAGGAGGAGGATGAGCAGCGCCACCCAGAGGGTGATTGACAACACTAAGCCCTTCCTCCAGACTCTGATTGGTTGTTTCTCGTTAGCACTGGGAGAAGATGGAGCTCAATTTTTTTACAGATTATCTTGTCTCATGTTACACTGTCATGACATAGTGACAATTTTAAAGAATATTTGCTTTTTTTCATAAAAGTTACATTCTGAAGCTTTAAATGTTGTGAAACATGTAATTTCTGAAAAATTAGTTGCAGCCACTAATATTACCTCTTGAAATAACAAACCAGTGCAAAGATATGCTAATGTCCAGAATGCTAATATTAGCATTTGACCTCATGCTAACATCACCTGGACATTAGCTCCAAATTTTTATTTTTTTCTCAATGTTTACTCGTATCAGCAACCTAAATGTATTCTCTGAAAGATTAGCCCAATCTTTACAACTATTTCCCAAATATGCTAGTATTTACAGGAAGAACAGCTAATCGTTTTAACATTTTAACCTTGACAGTCATGAAAATGTTGCTTTTTAACAGCTTAGTCATTGTTTCAGAAGCAGGTACTTAAAAAGCTCTGCAGCTGAAAGGTCAGAGTTTAACGCCTTTCAGCCAGGGCGAAATAAATAGTTTACATGCTTGTGCTAAACATTATATCAGTCCATCTTAATTTGTAGCTGTGTGATAAAATCTGACAGAGAGCCATCTGTGTTTCTCCATGTCCATGATTAAATGCACATGGCTTGTCATGGTGCGTTTGCTCATGTCTGAGCAGAAAAAGGAGTGTGACTGGTATTTATCGCCTCTAAAACCTTCCATGTTGTACAAGAGAAAGACAAAACATCCGAGAATGTCTCCGAGAAAGGAGGACACGTTAACCCCAAACTGCACAAGGAGAAAATTGGGGGTTTGACTCTTGATTTGAGGTGCAGTATCAAGCCATCCAAAGACGTTTTACAGACACTGTAATAACTTTTCCATCTCCGTGACTTCTCTCATGACCTTCATTTGAATCCTTCGCTTATGGTTTACAATGTTTCACTGACCCAAAGAGGTTGACGTCTACTTCCTGGGCAGGATGAGGGAGAGTTGGGGAATTCATACGTGGAAAATCTCTGGGAACGCTGGCAGAGGACCAACTCCGTCCTCCGCCGAGGACACGGTAACCTCTGACCTCGTGTAATGGTTACTCTCAAGCATAAATTCACCTCAAAGAGCCAATCCTTAAAAATATGCAGACTTCTTCAGCCACCGGTTGTGCTTGTCCCATTTGAATTTACAATGCATACCGCTTTAATTATAGTTCAATAACGTATCCGATGCTTTAAGTGTCTCCCTCTGGAGATCCGTTCAGCTGCATCTGGAGCGGATCCCACTCTTTTATCCTCTTTACGCTACTGTCCTCATGTCTATCCATCATCCAGAGCTTCTCTCCCTACATGGCGAAGGCCAGGATGAGGGCAGCTGTGCAGGAAGACACTCTGCTGCACAGCTCTGATTCTTCTTTTGCACTTTCATGTGAATGAAAGAAGATGCTTGCGAATGATAATTTATGCTTTTTGTCGCTGTAATTGTTGAGGAAACACAGATATTGCACAGAGTTTAGGACAAACACTGCAAAAACACCAAATATTACCAAATATTTTTGGTCTAGTTTCTAGTGCAAATATCTTAATGCACTTAAAATAAGACAAAAACTAACGTAAACTTTTTAGCAAGATATAAGAGCTGAGAAGAAACTGAAGCCTGTAATGGATTTTCCTCAGACCTAAAATGTACCTAAAGTGTTCATTGACTGCATAATAAGGATAAAACTGAATTTGTGTGGTTTGGTTTCTTTTACTATGAAAACAAAGTTTTAAGAGCCGTACATTAAAAATAAGGGTTGAATATTATTTCTAAGTATGTGTCTTTAAAAATAAATCCAACCTCAGAAGTTATAAACAAATTGGCAAAAACTAGTAAAAGACACATGTTAGGACATGTGATAAGCATGTTGTTCTTTAATGTTTGATAACTTTTACATGAGTAAAAAGATTTTTTCTTTTAAAACTGATCATGTTTACAATCATTCTGATTGAAACGATGGAAAAATCCTGAAATATACATATATAAGTTTGTTTATTTCTTAAGAAATGTTTTTCAGTCTTGACATGAATTTTGTCTATTATAAGTTTCATAAAAATTGTGCTTTGACCGTAAATGTTTTTATACACCTGTCATCCTGTGTATGACCTTCAACATGAGGTCATAAACGCAGCATTTTAGATTCGGGCACAAATAAAGTGTCGTGAGGCGGTGTGTTGGTGAGAACGAACGCCGAGACCCAGATAATGATGATGATGAAGATGATTTAATGATGGAAGCTCAAACAGTCCAACACAGGCGGCACGGCAGAGAGTTAGCACACAGCTAATTACCGCTAGCAACTGGTATACAGAGGACTGAAAAACGAGCGCTAACGCTAACCAGGACTTAGCAGTTCAACTGGAGAGCTTAGACATGCGACAAGAACTGTCATAAGACGAGGACCCGACAAGGAACAGGTGGGTTTAAATACACAAGGAGGATAATCAGGAAAACTAGACACAGCTGGGATCAACCAAGAGGGAGGACAGGGCATCAGAGACTCACGGGGAACAAGGACACAGAAAAAAACAAGAAATAAATACACAAAAACACAGATCGTCACATAAAGTCTGAATTGTGGCTTTGAGCCGTTAAACAACTTTTTGTTTTTTAGAAAAACTCATTCTGATTGTTAGAAGGAATTCACAATTAGGCCTGTCACAATAAACAATAAATCAATTAATCATATGACAAATTAAAACAAGATCAATCATTTCCATTTGCATGATTCAGTTTACAGAGACGTCATAATTCATTTTGTTTGTAGTTTTATTTATTTATTTAGGAAATTTAACGTCTTCCAGTTCTAGTGTCAAATGTTCATTATAATTTAAAGTTTACTGATCTCTCAGAGGGCTGCACAGTGGTACAGTGGCAGAGCTGTTGGCTTGCAGCAAGAAGGTTCTGGGTTCAATTCCCAGATCCAGTCTTTCTGCATGGAGTTTGCATGTTCTCCCTGTGCATGTGTGGGTTTTCTTCAGGTACTCCGGTTTCCTCCCACATTCCAAAAACATGACTGTCAGGTTAATTGGCCTCTCCAAATTGCCCCCAGGTGTGAGTGTGTGTGCATGGTTGTCTGTATTGCCCTGTGACAGACTGGCGACCTGTCCAGGGTGATCCCACCTCTCACCTGGAACAATAGCTGGAGAGGCACCAGCACCCCTCCCAACCCCACCAAGGAACAAGGGTGTAAAGAAAATGGATGGATGATCTCTCAGAATATGTTCTTAAGCATTATATTACTTGAAAATGGCCTCAAAGCAACAATTTTATCGCAATAAGATCTGGAATAATTTATCGTCCAGCAAAATCAGGGTTATAAATATGCAGATTTATCAGTTGGCAACTAATCTAAGGTTGAAAAATGGTGTATCTTATCCCAATCTTCTCTGTTCCTCTGCTCTTACTGCAGGCAGTGTAATCAAACACAGAACTTGGCGGAGAAGATGATGTTTCTTTGGTACTCACTGTCAAGACACGGCGCACACTCGGTCTGCTTGGCACCGCAGGGCGTGACGACGCCCTCGCCGGGTGGACACTGCTTGCAGCATTCTCCGCTGGTCGTGTTCTGGCCTGACGGACAGCTGCGCAGAGAGGCCACGGCTCCGGCCTGCGGATCGAGAGAAAGGTCGAGCAAATGAGCGCTCTCTTCCCTTTAGCTGTGCACGTAAACGCTTATCGGTTTAAAAAGTTCATGCATTTGTTTCCAAAGTGCAAAGGTTTGTGTTGCTCTATCAAAAGAAAGTGCAATTATTGTGCAAATTAAAATGTTTTTCCAATATTTTGGGGCATATGTGTTAAACTCAAGGCCAAATCCAGTCCTCTCGATTCTAAACACTAAGTGTGCTTAAATATTATGTTATCAATCGAATCAATGCAGTTTTTATCTCTTTACTGACAAATTATATCAATCAAATTTGTCTTGTTTGTCTTGCTAAATTGTCTTGTAACAAGTAAATATATATGCCAGTGAAACTAGGACTTTTTCAGCAATATTAAGGAATTATTTAGTTAAAACAAGCTCCAACATCTTGCTGATTAGTTACTTGTAAGTTAGTTTTCTCTTAATTCAAATTTACTAAGATATTTGCACTGAAAATGAGAGTAAAAATACTTGGCAAGGGAAAGCAGAAACAATAAACAATGCTCTTTCTCTCTCTCTCTTTTCATTCCATTTCTTTCTCTCTAACAAACTTATTTTTGGGATTTCCTTTGATAAATTTAGGATCTGAAGAGATATTAGTCCTTATGCAGTTGGATCCGGGCTTGGAAAGCAAACATACACAAAAAAAACCTGGAAAACTTTCCGCTTCTTTCTCAGTTTCCCATGATCTTGTGAAAAGCAAGACTGTTTATCTTCATCTGGCTTCTAAACAAAGTTGAGACAATCAGGAAAAGAAAACCACACTGCAGTTGGAAAGGTTACAGCCTCAAGGCAAACAATGTTTTATAGCAAAATCGTGATAAAAATGTATCAGCAGGCATATTTTACGGGTTAGTGCATACATTTTTTCGAGTGCTTTCCTTCTTGAAGTAGGAATTTAATCTGTTGAGTCTTTATGTTATTGCAAGTGTCAGCTCTTAAAGGGTTAATGACCCACCAGCCCTCTGGCTGGCTCTGAGTTTGAATATTTACACGTGTAAGTGAGAAGCTGCAATGAAGGAACACAACACATCCATGCAAAGTGAAGTCACTCTGCTTTCTTCACAGACAGAAAGAGAAGTTTGTGCACAAAGCCATGAGAACACTTTGCTCCAACCGTGAAATTTCCACGTTTATGTAAAAAGTTAATCTGTGATCTTTAAAAAATGAAAGCATTTCTCACACCACCTCTCTGTTTTTAATCTTTCATCCAGCGAACGCCTTTATCATTTTGTAAAACCTGATAAGAGCGGTGATAAGTTTGAAAATAAGGAGTGTCCAAACTTTTCTTTTTTTAAAAAAAAAAAAAAAGAGCCTAAATACAAGCAAAAACAGGAGTTAATGATTTAGTTGTTCTTTTCTCCTGTTGGAGGACACGAGTGTTAGTCCACCCAAAACGCTGTAAGGATTTTGCACATCGTCTGTATTAAGAGACAAGTTTTGGACACTCCTGCTCTACTTCAGCGTTTATCAGCATCAGCTTCCCAAAGTGTCTCCATAAATCAGCAGAAACGGTTTTTAAGCAACATGTGATGGTAGTCACTAGTTACATTTGCTCAGTTACATTTTCTTGAGAAACTATTTGAACAAATGTACTTTTAGGAGTATTTTTACTATGCAGTACTTTTTACTTTTGCTTAATTTTATTATGACGTGTTGCTACTCTTACTTGAGTAAAATTCCTGGATTTTCTGCCCATTGAATGAAAAACCAACATGTTTTCACTAAAACCTGACCGGACAGACACCTGCAGTTTCTGTTAAAGTTTATATTGAGAAAAATTTATTTGGAAACATTTTCTTTTGCCTGATTTAGTCACTTTTTGTCCCTAAAATATCAACATTTTTATTTAACTTTATGTTTTGTTTGTCTGATTATGTAATTTTTAAATATTAAATGATTGATCATTTGATCAGTTACTCAGTACTTGAGTAGACTTTTTTACCAAATACGTTTTTACCTCACTTGAGTTATTTCTTGGATTTTACTTTGACTTGAGTAAAAATACTTCGGAGCAGTGCTGCTCCTGCGTGAGTACAGTTCTCTGACCGTGAGCGAGTTGAGCGCCGTAAAGGGATGTGCGCACACATGCAGGCTTTGAGTGAAGGAGGTACGCTCTGTGTAAATTGTCAGGGTTCAGGTGTGTGAGAAATGCAGCTGGCAGGAGAGCGAGGACCGGGCATTCCTTCAGGCTCCTCTGAGTCAGCTGATGAGTTTCTGTGTGAGCGAGAGAGCGAACTCACACACACGGCGCGCCTAACGCGGCTGGTCACGTGATTCACCTTGGACATTCGCTCTCCGACATTCTCCTTCTGGTCAAGAATCTGTCATTGAGTTTGTGGGAATTGATGAAGATCTTTTAACTCTAAAAAAAATCATTTAATTTTTGGCCATATCAAAAATCTGAATGTTCTTAAAGGGCCGGTTTGTCAGAATGTATTGATAAAACATTAAACTGTTAAAATACTAATGAAAAGATCACAGATTTGGTGGTGCTAATTTATAAATATATATAGGAATTTTGATATTTGCACTAATGTATGAGGTTACTCACTGTATCGATCACAGACTATAACTTGACATCAAGTAAGGCTGAGGCAGCAGTCAATTAAAACCAATGTTTTTGACCAATTTTTGAGAAAAAGATGTCAACAAAATCTGAAAAGATGTGGATTTTGAAGATTTGTGAAAAGCTAGAGAGACTTATTGATACAATGTGGAGTCCAGAGGGCCACATAAAAAGTTACAGTGGCCACATTTGGCCCCCGGACCTTGAGTTTGACATGTGTTATGTAGTAAATACAAATTACCATTGAAAAGATTTCTTGTATTTTTGCTTTTTTTGTCAAACAAAATAAATTGAGTTAATACAGAAAAGCCAATAATTTTATTTAATAACGTTTCAGGGTGCAACTTTTATAAAAAATATATTTTTCACCATGTCGAGACAGATAATCTGTGAAAGGGCAACCCAAACCCAACTGGATATGTTGAAAATAAAATTAAGCAATATGAATTAACTGTCTTCTTTTTTCTTTTCTTTTTGTATTACTCACTTGTGCAATTAGGAGATTACTTAAATAGTCTGAAAAGGGTAAATTTCTAGAGTTTTGAGAGTAAATCACAAGAGGGATTATTCACAAATGGAGAAAACCTGGAGCCGTCATGAGTTGGAAGATGTTTGAAGTAGAACCCAAAAGCAGGAGACAGAAGCGGCCAGTGAATATGAAAATTTAATAAAGAATATGAAAAAACAAACTTACGAAAAGCAAAGGGAGCAAAAACACAAAAACCAAAAGTCAATGTAAAAAGATCCGGCAAGGGGAACAGGAGGAAGTGAAGGGAGTAGACATGAGGATCCGGCAAGTAGTGGCTGAGAATGAGAGGCTTAGGGAGCTTAACAAAAGGCCTGGGCTGATGAGCTGATTGATTCCAGATGCAGGAGAGGAAGTGGGACAGGGGAACAGGAAGTAATACCAACACTAAAGGATAACTTAGACTAAAGAAACATGATAAACTAGAACAACAGAAAATAACCAGAAACAAGAAAAAACAAAACTAGAATCACCAAGGAAGAACAGAAGTAGAAAACAAAGCAAAAAGTGACAAAAATCCAAAACTGGAACAGTGCTTAGCCAACCAAAATTACTCAAATAGCGCATCAGTTAATCTTAAAAAAAAAACCCAAGAACATTTAAAGTGACATCACAAATACAAATAAATAAATAAACATTAGACAGTCAAAAACGATGGAGTTGGATGACTAAGCTGCTTGTGGAGCAGAACATCTCTCTGATCTCTACCTTGTATTTCAAATAAATGTTGCACACTCAGTTATTAGGCTGAGGGTGCAATTATTTGATCTCTTAGGGTTAGGTTGGTTTATACAGCCTTTTTACCAGTGATCACACTCCCTCAGGTTAAATCTGCAAGGGGGGTAAAACCTGAACATTGTAATTTTTTATACAGTATTTAGAATCTCAAAGATGCTTCTTGTCTCCCACAAATTGTTCCTCACTTTGCTCAAAACCGCAAGACAAGCTGTGCCTCACTATTACACTCCACAAAAGCAGCTATTAAAATGTAAATCAAGCCCGCCTGCTGCGTACTTCCCCTTTCCTGCCCCCCTAATTTAACGCACACGCCCTTCGACAGACGCACGCCTCCACTCAAACCTCCCATGATCTGAACAAACCCGTTTTAAAATGACACTTGGAGTGAGTCCAGTGTTTGGCATCTGCTTATTTATTTCTCTCTCTCTCTTCGACCCGTTTTTAGCTCCAGGTGTCGGTGCAACAAAACACCGACTCAAACACCTGATTAAAACGCATCAGCTGGCTAGAATCCGATGAATGGTGCAAAGAGATTATTGGAGGGTGGCATTTGAGCACTTGGCGTGTGAAATAGAAAATGAGGATTTCTAACAAGCCTTTTTGGCAAGTTGAAGCTCGACTTTCATGCTTCCATAAGCTGGTTTTAATGTGGAGTCCCTGAAGATGGAACAAAATGTACACTGGTGTGAAGTGAAGGCTGAAATCAGATCTCAACACGGCTTTACTGCTCTAATGGACCTGACTGCTCTGTTCAGGGTTAACCTCAGGACTTGTTATAGACCAACATGTCAAACCTCAATTTAAGAGGCTTTGAAGGCCTTCAAAAGGTAACTTTTTTAGAAAAAAAATGACGCGCTTTTGAGAATACTTATACCATGCTTTACTTTTTACTTTTACTTGGGTAAAATTTCTAGCCATTGAGTGGAAAACAAACATGTTTAAGCTAAAATCTGTTCGTTTCGAAACATTTGTAAGGAAGCAAAAAGATATATTTAAAATGTAGCAGACATCAGTTCAGCAGCTTGGTACAGATTCCTGGTGGTCAAACACTGCTGCGGGACGCCAACCCATTCTTCAAACACATGCAAGTTGATGAAAATTGACATTTATCTACTTTTCACTTCAATTCTGGAGTCATTGTGTGATAAAAACGCTCTGCTGGGCGTTTTTCAGTGAGTGAGTTGCCAGCCCACAGCATCATACTGCCTCCACTAAACGTTCCTGGACACTGATAGATTGTTTTACAAGTTTTTAATGAATGAATTTTCCTAACACTGAAAAAAAGAAAACAGATGACTACCTTAAAAAAAACTGAGTTAATCCAAGTAAATACATTAAGTTTATTAAGTTGTCATGTTCAATAAATGTAAATAAATTAAGCTTGACAAACTAAATTTGATGTAACAAATCAACCCAATTTGTTTTAGTTTGAGCTCCTTTTTTTCAAGCACAATTTAAGAGAAAATCAACAAGTTTTTCAACAACACAGGAAACAATGTTGAAGAAATCAACTAATTAGCCTTTTCTTTAACTGCGTCTAAAACAAATTTAAGGTACAACTAAGAACAAATTAATAGCAAATTAATAATCAGAGTTGTCAACATCCAGCTCCCCTCTGCTGCCATCTTGTCTCATTTATGTTTTTTATGTACATTTTGGCTAGTATATTTTGTAATTGTTATTTTGTTTATATAATTACAAAGTTTTAGTTTTGGTTTTTTTACCATCTGGTGAAAAATAGCCTTCTGGATAACTCTGTAATACTTACAGATTGTAATAAATAAATACATTTAAATGAGTGAATACAAATTTTCTTACTTTTTGTGCCTGCTTAATTTTTTTAAAACACATATTCTAAAATAAATGTTTTATGAAGTTGACTCGAATTTAAAACCAAGCAGAGATCATAGAAAATCAGACAACAAGCAATGCTGAGTCATCACTTCTTAAACAGGGGAAGGAAGAAGCAGAACGAGGGTAAGATGGAGAGGCAGACGATGGGAGAAGACTGAGGAGGAGGAGAAGGAGGAGAAGGAAGAGTGGTCCAGCACCTATCAATATTACATGTGCTGAGCCAGCAGAGGATGCAGAGCCACCAGTGGGAGCGGCTGTCATGTGCTGGTGATGTACCGGGCTCCTAAATCAGGACCCGGACAGACTCTTGCCGTCGGAAACTGAAAAATGTATCCCCTCCTTTAACCTCAAGGTAAATCACAGGTATTATAAACCACAACTGTCAGCTGGGCTTCCTCTTGAATTCCCCTCATGCTTGGAGAGCGTCCTGCTCCTGTTTTGACTCTTGTGTAAGTTTTGATATGAGGTCATGTGACTCTTGACAAACAGAAAAGCTCCTTTTGCAGTCAGTAGACCGTCATGGAGTGGCAGAAAGTGAATGAATCAGGCCTGGTTTCTGTAAATGTGTGGCTGAATCCGCTGTTTTTGTCCTTCTCTCTGCGGGCGCACATGTAACTGAGACGGGTGGAGAGCCGCGGCTCCACGCAGCGGTCGGAGCTATAAAGTGTCAACCTGAATGACTGCTCTGCTGCAGGCATCCGTCCTGCCGGTCCAAGACAGGTGCAAAGGCGGAGAAAGCCAGAAAAATGCAACAATTTGTGACACTTCATCACTAAACTGAGAGATTTTAAAGAAAGGCAGTGATTTTGATCATCTTAGGGGGAAAACTTTTTTTCACAAACATTTATAAAACTTGAATTAAAACAAGTAAAGATTTGAAACATGTTTGACGCACAAAATCTGGACAAAAAGTGTCACTCACCAGTCCAAGTAAGGCTGCTATTAAAACCAATTTCATCCTGTATCTCCTTTGCATATTTCTAGAAGCGTCAGCAATCAGATGCAAGATCGACGGAGGGTGAAGTCTCAGCAGTTTATTGGTGAAGGAATCACGGCTGTCATCGCTGCGCGATTCTTTCTTGGTTTGTTGTCAAAGAGAGGAGGAGGAGGAGAAAAACGCTCCAAATGACAAGTCACTTAAAAAAAAACCCCGACAAAAGTAGCTCAGTTTTTAAAGCGCCCCCTGCGTGTAGCTACAATCCAGTTTGAGGGTCCAGATGACGCGACGGGTGAAGATGACCCATCGGGGGTTGTTCTGGTTCTGTGCGCTTTTCTTCCGCCGGGTTTTGGCTCATGTGGCTGAAGCGCGTCGGCTCCGCTCAGGGAAGCAGTCGTGCCCGTTTCCACGCCCACTCCACGCACACATGCATACAGCGTGTTCTATCTTTAACAACTCCAACCTACAAAAGTGTAGCACCAGGCCTTTAACTACACCTGTTGATTCGTGCATTTTGTTTTAAAGAGAAAACAGTGTTACAAGTAACTTTTTAGGAGCTTGTTTTCATCAATAAGCCGTTAATACTTAAATAAATACTTTAGTTTGACTTTGGTTTCACGCTTTGATTATCTCCCCAGAAGCGCCTCACAATTATTTGCCTTGATTTTGAGTCTGAACTGGTGAACAGAGTCATTTGCTATGGGACTCAGCCGGCCCAAGGCATAAGAGAACCAAACACATCCAATGGTCCCCAGATCTTCAAGGACCTGCCATGAATGCTTCACTTTTAACACAGACCACAGATGTAGAATTGTAACATTTGTTTATTGAGAAAGACAAAGCAATAAAATCTGATTTTAACTGTTTTGGCATATAGATAAAAGTGCAAAGTGCAAAGCTGTTATTGATCCCTCCTGTGTTTTTGTTGTTTTTACTCTTCTTCCCTTCAGCCCATGCTGGTGTCGGCCATCTTTCACTGGATAATGACTCTGTTTTAATCAGTTTCAGCCAATATCTTCATAAAGTTTTTCTTTGGTCTGTTGGTGATGCTCATGTTGCACATGAAAACATACTCCGATGACCGCTGGACGTTCCCAGGCTGTTTATGCTTGAACAGATGAATGTGACATCTTCAGGTACCTGGAAATTGTCCCCAGACGTGTGAAGGTACACAATTCCCTGCCTGTCATCTTTTGTTATTTGATGCTTCCATAATGTCTCAGAAGGAAACTGTTGAAATAAATCCATCTGCAGTTAACTCAAATAATGTGAATGAAAGGGGGAAAGTTAAGTCTGATTTAATGTCAGATAGGACTCTTTTAAAACTGTGTATGTAAATATCTGGTTTCAGCTGAATGTATAATGTTTCCGTTCCTTCAAAGGAAGCAATCAGCCTGTGGTGAAGCTGCGGTTCTAAAGGAGCCCAGGTTGCTGCAACAGCAGCCGTATTGTTGGTTCTGGTCTCTCTCATCTTCCCCCTGATGAACCTCTCTAGAGTCTCTACGGTACATGTGTCAAACTCGAGGCCCGTGGGCCAAATCTGGCCCACCGCAGCTGTTTCTGTGGCCCTCTGGATTCCAGACTAAACACTAAATGTGTTTAAATATTATGTTATCAATCAAATCAATGCAGTTTTTATCTGTTTACTGCCAGATTATGTCAATCAGTCCCTCTCCCTTCCTGAAAATTATTGTGGAAATCAACAAATCCACACACTTTTTTGCACTAATACATAATTGGGAGTTTATTGCAGATTTTTTTTCTCAAAAATTGTCAAAAACTTTCTTACTTGTACTAAGCAGCTGCTTCAGCCTTAATTGATGTCAGATTATAGTCCAGGATCTATACAGCGAGTAAAAAGTTTCCTTTCCTGACATAAATAAACGCAAATATTTTCAAATTAGTACCTCAAGCACTTTTACTGTAAAAATCACAAAAAGAATCACAAAATCCTGGAGGAACTGATGAAAAGATGTTTAATAGTATAATTTAATTCTAAGGATTCATTGATATTTTAACAGCTAGTGAAAAGGTTTTGTCAATACATTCTGGCCCTTTAAGAGGATTCATGATCTTGATTTAGCCCAAAATGAAAATGAGTTTGTGGTTTAGGCCAGGACAGTTTGCTGGCTATTCCAACACATTTAAACCCAGGTTATTAAAGAAGATATTGCACTTTTTGGGCAAAAAGAGCAGGTGCCAAGACTTGCTAAAAAGTGAAATTGGCAAATCAACCAGGGAAGCATAAAGGGATCCAAGATTTCTGACATAAGATTTGATAAAACAAGGTGAACCAACACTAGCAGATAACATCACTGCTGACAATGGATGCTTTTTTAGCAGAGTTTTACCTTCCACTGAACTTCCCATTAATATTTTGGGTGCACTACTTTGTGAACAGCCAGCTACTTTGGAAATAAACAACTTGTGGCTTACATTTCTTGTGGATGTGAATCACCCTGGAGGAAAATTGTTATTTTATTAAGAAAAAGATTAAATTAAACTGAACCAATGATCTTTTTTTTAATAGGTAACTAAGTGTCCCTTTACTCCGGAATATGCTGTGGACATAACTTGTATGTCCTGCATATTCATACAAGTTGTATCAAACTTGCTCAGGACAGAACTGAACTGACTGATTTTAGTTTTTAGTTCTTGTCGCTCTACCATTTCTGCCGCTCTGGGCAACTGCCTGTCTGACGCATATCAAAAACCAACACTTTTGAAGCAAATTTTAACAATTAATCTGTTTCTGTTTTCTTTTCTTGTACTAGTTTCTGTACTGGTTTCTGTTCCCAAATAACAGAGCTCTTCCTCATTGCTTTTTAAAAATAATCTTCACCGGTTATTCTCTTTTATTATACAAATTTCAATAAATTGCAAGAAGCTGAAGGAGTTGATGTGGATAACTGGCCTCCTCTGATCATTATATTCTGCTTTGAGCTGTAAGGGTGACTAAGTTCACTAAGTCAGCAGTGCCATAAACAACCAAATTTAACAGTTGTTTTGCATGTGTTGTAACTGCTTTGTAGGATTTGATGCTCTAAAAGCCTCTAGAAAAATTAATTAAAATTCATTATTTATGGCTGCATTTCAAACTTTTGAAGGGTTTGGATGTTGTTTTGCAACCTAACAGGACCAAACTTGTTTCTGTTCGTCGATAATGAGTTATGGTGCGATGATAGATCTCATTATAGAGTATTACTCAAGTGATATATCATTTCTAATTTTGTGCTTTTCTTTTGCGTAGTTCTACATATTACTAACAAATAAATGTTCAGTCAGACTTTTGTGTGAATGTTTTACAACCTCAAAGGGACTGCATGTGCAAAAGGAAAACCGAGACATCACATAGCAACTCAGCGTTTATGTAAGCACTGTAAAACAATTTAAGGTGGTTTAACTTGACAACGAAAGTCCACCTGCTGCCTTGAAAATGCAATTAAAGCCAATAAGAAAATTATTTTGGTTTTAACTCAGAAATTAAAGTTCATGAAGTTGATTTAACAACAAGAGACAAGTTGTCTAAACATTGTTTTTAAAGTTCATTCATCTTGAATTGTGAGTTTTAACTTAAAGCTACAATTTCAACCAAATAATTATTTCAAGATATGCTATTAAAAAAAACCTGTCCTAACTTAAAGAGCACACACTTCTGTATTATTTTCATTAAAATAAACATTTGCCTTAATAGCGCACAAGACTCAGGATACAAAAATGTGCCGCTAAGCATTCTGGGAAATAGTTCCCACTCCTGTCTTTTTCTTCTTTCAGTTTTTTTAAGTGCTAACCTAAAAACTCTAGTTTATTCAACAAAATGAAGACAAAGTTAACACAACTTACTACTGTGAGTTTATCTTTCACAAACTCACACATTTAGGTTCGAAATCTAAAATGTATTTGACTTAAGAGAGTAGAAGATAGCAGATAAAATTAAATGTGACTCAAATGTTTTACAGTGAGTAATCATTGTCATAAGATCGTAACAAGATGACGAAAGCTAAGAAACAGGAAAGGATAATTAATAACTTCTGGTGCAGAAATATGATCAGGGTGCAGCTGTGAGGAGAGAGCAGGAGGCAGACTGAGGGAGAAAAAGAGAGAGAGGAGCAAGGTGGAGCAAGCAAAGTAGGAAACAGGAAAAACAGTTTAGTTTATTAGTTTATTTAAAACAAGGACAATAAGCAAAGTAGATTAATAAAAGATATTTTGCACCAAATTTAGCACAATTTTCCACATGCAGTCCCTTAATTTAAAAGGATCAAGGAATAACAAAACACAAGAAATAGACAAATGTGATCTAACTAAAAGATCGGACTGATCTAAAGTAAGATAGAAAAAGAAGTTAATCTAATACAAACAAAACAGGGAAAGAGAAAACAAAGACTAACGAAGGTCAAACTGACAACAAAAGATCAAAACTGGAAACCCAGGAAAAAAACAAAACAACACAAGATTTTGACAGAGGAGAATGCCAATCGTATGAAAATAAACCAAAGTTCATGTCTGGAGAACTCAAAGAGTGGCATCCTGGACTTATAATGTCCAGAAAACAGTAATTTAATTTCATGTTCATGTGCAAACATTTAGTATTTGTAGGAAGTTGCTGTAAAGCTTGATTATTACTGTACTGACTTCTTAAATATTAAAGCATCCATGACAGTGTTTGTAGAGCGTTTTTACAGCATGAGGCTCGATGGTGATGCATCACAAATTACACTTGATGAGGCTTTGATTTACAGAAATCCTGTCAGGACTAAGTGCTGTGTGGATTTACAGCTGATGAAGAGGGAGAGAGGAAGCTGCTGTGGAATTGGTTAAATAAATAATTCATGAATACAAAAACAACAAAAATACGAGAAACCAAAACAACTCTGAGTATCAGAATTACATGGAAGAGAGAACTTAGAGCTTTTCTTTTTCTTTCGTATTTCCAAAAGCCTGAACCGGAAGTTATCCATCGCACATATGGAGTGAATAGCAGACTCATGGCTTTGACACCAACAAAAAGAAAATCTGTGGACACTTTTGAATAATGTGGGAGAGAAAGACACATGAACAAAATGCCTGCTGGCGGATCGATGAGAAGGAGAAGGAAAACTTGGATGAGCTGCCTCCGATCTCATACAGTTATTGAACACAAAAAGTTCATACATCATGGAGGAACTTTGCCTGAAATCTATGGACGAATACAATCAATGTTTAAAAAGACTTGTAAAGGACGTACAAACTCTTTTTGTAAGACTGCTGGCTGCGAAAGTAAGTACACGTAGTAACATACATGTAGGCTACATGTCCGTCTTAGCTAGCAAAAGCTACATTAGCTAACTAATTTTGCTAGTTCAACAGTGTGTATTACTGATATTT